ACTTAAAGCTAGGCATGCCCTAAACAACTCTGCTTATAAATAGCAAGCCTCTGCCAGACATGGTTGTTCATAACTGTAATCACAGTGTTATACTTAGGAGGCTGAGGCAGGAGGCTGTCTGGGAGTTTGAGGCTAGCTGGGTTTCACAGTGACACACTATCAAAATAAACAAGAAGGAAGGGCATGAAGGAAGAAAGAAGGGGGAAAAAAAGGAAGAAGAGACCAAGGACGGGAAGAAGGAGGGAGGGAAGACACCCAGTTAGCTAAACCAACAACAGCCCCCCTCAGTGTGAGGCCATTTGTACGGCAGGGGCAGGCACTACCCACCATGCCCCTCAAGCACTGTGGAGCAGACATGATTGTACATCCCACCGAATAGAGGAAGAAACTGAGGCTCTGAGTGTGAATGGTGCAGCAGGGAGTGACTGACAGGCCATGAAGCAGGCCACACACAGCTCTGAGGCACTAGAGTAACACTGTTCCCTGACTTCTGAAAAGCTGCTGTGGCATTGTAGAAGGTGGGAAAAATCCCTACAGACCTCAGACCCAGAGGCTTTGAAAGCCTACCCCACCCTCTTCCTCTCCAGCTCAGCCTCCCTGTATCTTCATATCCTCCCTGGCCGGTGGGCATTTCCTTCTCTCTGGTGATAAGAGACAGGGCCAGGAGCTCTGTCCTGGGGCTGAAGGCTTATCTGGAAGCCAGAGAAGCCAGGAAGTTTATTTGTCCGCTGAGAGCCTAGCACAGTTCCTGGGAGCCGCCCTGAGCTCCTTCCCCAGGAAGCTGTCAGTCACAGCAGCTCCGGTGTCATCTGTTGTTAAAGGTCAGTTTGGGGTGGCCTATGGAGCCTTGTGTGTCTTGCTTCACTTGGGCATCTCCTGCAGCCCATGGTGAAGACCATTTAACATTTAAATAAAAAAGATATTACATGCAAACAAAAACAAACCCAGGAAATTTATACTCAAATCGAGACTTGTAGCTTCTTACAGATCTTACAGATCACAGCTCCAGGTCATCGAGTTGCTCTCTTCTATATTTTCTGAGTAGCATTTTTTTTTAAATTTTAATTAACTTTTGAAGACAGCAGAGAATCATTCAATGCTGCCTGCATTGGATGCAATTCTGGACCCCAAGCCTGCATACTGCTTTGCAACTGGTAGATTTTTGACCTCATCTTCACAGATTGCTGCAACCCCTGCATTACCTGCAAAGCAGTCATTTTCTACAGTATTATGTGCACCAAATTGCCAATGTGCCTGTGTACCACTTTCATTATTGGTGCTCATTAAGGCCAGGAGAGGGCATCAAATCTCTGGAAAGTGGGGTTACTAACAGCTCTGAGACTGCCTTGTGGGTGCTGGGAATTGAACCCAGGTCCTTTGGGAGAGCAGCAAGTGTTCCTAGGTGCTGAGCTATCTCTCTATCCCGTGTGTTTGTTCCTTTATGATATGACTCACAGCTACCTTTGACTCAGGGAACCAGGGCAAGATTGAAGTCAGCCTAGGCTAACTAGAGATAACTTGTTTAAAAAAACAAACAAACAAAACATCCTTCAAACCAAACAAACAAACAAACAAACAAAGAAAAAAGGAAAGGAAGAGAATTGCCTTTTGGAATTCATTTTCCATCTCAGCATTCAGTGAACTTTCACAATCAAAGGTAAATATTTCAGGCTTTGAAGCCAATGAGGGTGACGCTATTCAGTTTGGCAACTGTATGGAAGAAGCCTAGACAATACAAAAACCATTAAGTGGAGCTATATACAAATAGAACTTGATGTACAGATTTTTGCTTTTGAGGGGTACAGTTTGCTGACTGTTCTTAACAACTTTGTCCTCTGTCCTGTTGATTCTCTTCCACATGACATACTGTGTCTCATGAACTTACTATTTTTTTTTTTTTTACAGTATTGGTTAATTGCTGGGGTGTGTAGCTAAGGTAGGAGAGTTCTTGCTAACACACAGGAAGCCCTGGGTTTGATCCCCAACACCACATAAAGTGGGTGGGATGGCACAGGTCTGAAATCCCAGTACTCAGGGGGCAGAGGCAGTGGATTGGAAGGTCATCCTCAGCCACAAAGTGAGTTTGACGCTAATCTTTTCAGGAGGAGGACTCAGTGCATGTTCAGCATATGGTCTGTGAATGACTTGCACCCTAGCTCTGGAATAATCTTAAAAACAAAACAAAAAAGCCCAACCAACCAACCAAACAAACAAACAAAACAGACAGGAGTTTTTAATATTCCTCCTTTGTTACTATCCAAGTGGAAGGTGAGAACTTGAAGTCAGATTTTTATGGGACAGATTTTAAATCTGGACAGAAGAAACCCAGAAAGCGCAGTCCCTTCCCAAGCAAGGTGATCTGCTCCGTAAAGAACAGCTGGTGGGAAACTGGGGCAAAAGGAGCATCTCTGGCAACATATGCCAGGCACACAAAGAACCATCTTCAGAGAGGTCAGCAAGCTGGTTTCAAGTAGCGGTGTCCTCTGAGGAAATGTGGGAAGATACTGAGTTACACTTCAGCTTTTGGGGTCACTTTTATAACGGCAGTACTCGGGTATTACTGTCTCCCCCAGGCCTTCCTCAGTTCTCAACTGTACTAAGAATGGAATCTCAGTATCTCACCCGGCCACAAAACCGTTCTCTCCTGTCGTCATTTCCTGCTGCCCTGACTGCTGGTTCTGCGCACAACCTCAGATGCTGTCGCAGGCCCTAGCCCTGGCAGCTTCCTCGTTTAGAGAGGCTCTTTTGCATCTTTTTCTCCTACAACCTAGCTTTCAACTCCCCAAGACGGCATCCCGGTGCTCACACAGGACATCCTGCATCCCCCCCCCTCTCCCGTGAGCTCAACTTTCTCTGACGGTTATAAACTTCCCAGGTACTGCTCACTCAGAGCCTAGGACTGGCCCTGCCATCATGGGTACCAATTCATACCAGGTGGCTGCACGGATCCTGCATGTAAACATGTGTGCGCGCGCACACACACACACACACACACACACACACACACACACACACACACACTGTAAACACGTGCACTTACACACTCACCCAGCCAATTTACTGAAAACTTGACATTACAGACCAGGGATCAGCCGAGCTACGACAACATCAAGTCAGTAAGAGCATCTCTGCCCCAGACAGGCGGTAGGCTAGAGGGCGCTACACAAACGACTACTTTTTCTTCCTTTCATTTCCTTTGCTTCCAGAAGGCCTGATGCAGACCCAGCTAGAGAAACCTCAGGATTATCTCCTGATTTACAGTGGTCATCAGGATCTCTCAGCCCCAGCACTGCTAACATTTAGGGCTGGTTAACGGGCCTGTGTGCTGGAGGAAGTCTGGCAGCACCTCTGGCATCTGACCACTAGAGGCCGGTAGTTCCTCCACATAAGTTTTGGCTGCCAAAAATACTTCTGAATCTCAAGAGGCCTAGACCAAAGCAGCTTCCAGCAGTGACCTGCATCTCCCAGACTCTAAGCCATGAATCTGTAAGTGCAGACGGCAAGGACCTAATCATGGCGCTACGTAACCGGTGGCACGAAAAAGCAGTCAGAGGTTATCCAGGCAGCTAAGGCATGTGTCTGAAATGAGACAGACACTGAGACACTCACACCACAAACCTAACTAAATGGACCCTACATAGCAGAGTGTCAGATAGCAGCAATGACAACACAGCTTCCACTGACTGACACAATCAGTACACTCTGGAACTGACTCATTTACAACCCGGGTGGGAAGGTGACAATTCTCCATTTTCCAAAGGGGAAGGCGAACCTAGGCCTTCCATCTGCCTCTCTCTTACTCCCTTCCTTCTTCCCTGGCCCCAAAATCTGCGGGTTCAAGCAGAACTGCTGTTTTGTTGTCACAAGCCACTCAGATCTCACAGGTGTCTGCTGCCACATCTATCAAAGCCTTGTCACTGATTTTTTTTTTTTCTCCCTACATTATCCAGGCTGTTCTTACACTTCTGGGCTAGGATTAGATATATGTCACCAGGCAGTTCCAACTTTTGTTTTGTTTAAAAACAAAAGCAAAGTCCCCTGGGACACACATGAAGAGCAGCGGGCAACAGTCAGCCTCAGACACTGTTGGCCTCGGTGTGCTGGAAACTGTCCTGCACACCCACTTGACCTTTGCCCTCGTGGCTTTTGGCAAACTCAGTACCTGCTATCTCAGCTGCTATTCCATGTCATAAGCTCATGGCGTTCCTGGAAGGGCATATCCTGGGGGCTGCCCTGGCATCTAAAGGCTTTACATCCACTGGTGAGTGGCCTGTCTACACGCTTAAAAAGCAGACCAATGTCTTTTCTAGAAGAGGTCACTGTTCCTGTCACCTCTCCACGTGGAAGTTTTTGGGTGGGCAACCCAGAAAAACTGCAAAGCAGTGAGACTGCCTGAGCCGCGTTTCAGTGTGGAAGTAGTGCTCCTAGGCGGCCAGGCTCCAGTGGTCAAAGCTTGCGTCCTGGAGACCATAAAGAGCTAGCCTCAGCCACTGTCCTCAACAGCATGATTAAAGAGAAACCAGGCAAGGAGAAGCATTCACTGTGGTCAAAACACTGGGAGGAGGAAAAAGCAAAGAAGTCCAGTGAGCGTGTATGACCTGACACGAGGTTTATGCCTAAACAGAGAGTAAGTGGTTTGTGTGGCCATAGGGTCCTGGTTACAGTGCGGTTTTCCCATCCCTGAAACGTCAGTCTCAACTCTGTCAGAAGTGTGTGAAAGCTCTCTCTCTGGCTGGCATCAGGCTCCATCCTTGTCTTGATCTGAATATGAGACTCCGGGGGTAACATCAATTTCCTGGGGTCCATTGTCTCAGCAGTTTAATAGCCGAAGAGAAAGGGCCTTCGTGTGTCCCCTTGGGCTGTCTTTTCTCTTGCCAGGAAGGTTCTGTAGCTCAGGGCAGAGCCAGGCCAGGACTCCTATGCTGTATATTATCTAGTGCTAGGCTGTTTCCCCACCTATAAAAGGAGGGATTTAGGCCACACAGACATTAAGTCTTTACAGTCCAGTGTGGCAGCCCTAGCCATGTATGGCTGCTGAATACTCAAGATGTAGCTGTTAGGAACGGAGACACGCTTGAGTGTGAGACACAGGATGAAGTTAAAAACCGTATTTCAGCACATATTTCAGAATGCTATGCTGTACACGGTAAAATACACTATTGCCAATTTAAGGCTACAGAACAACATGAAAATTCTTATTAATAATTTAATTTTCATGAGCTACTATAGATACACAAATAAAATTTGCCTTTTGAGATTAACTTTACTTGTGTTTTCTACCCCCACCTCCCCAAGACAGGGTTTCTCTGTGTAGCCTTGGCTGTCCTGGCTGGCCTTGAACTCACAGAGATCCGCCTGCCTCTGCCTCCCTGAGTGCTGGGATCACAGATGTGCACCACCGTGCTGGCTGTCTTTTCTTTCCTTCTTTTTTTATTTAAGGAAAAACAAAAACATTTTTCATATGGCTACTAGAAAACATTAAATTATATCTGTAGCTTGCATATGTCTGCATGGTACCATGATATTTTACAGCCTTTCTATCAGCCGGTGTCTGAGAAAAAAAAAAAAAAAAGTATACCAAGCAGAAGCACAGCACATACCAAAGCATGGGTGTTTCGCCATTGCCACAAGTACAGCATGACCTTACCTGTCACTCTGACCACATTTCTAATCACCACTGTTTCCACTGTATTCTGGGCTATCTGGTGATAGACCTGATAGACCATCTGAGTGAACTTCCTGGACACTGGCAGGTGAGAGCATCAGTTCATATTCTAGGGGACATGCCGGGAGGCTGAAGCCACAGTAACAATCATCTCTATGGCTTAATTTTCCACAGATCGAGAAAAGGATTTGTTCAATCAAATTTTGGTTACAATGCAATTTCTGGGCTCCACCTGTCATTCTTCATTCACCTACTGTATCTTTCCACTATTGTGCAACAGTGGATTGTATTGATTGTGCATGTGGATGGAGAGTAATTTTAACTCAGAGCAGGTTGCTCTGCCAAGAGATCACATCCAAAGACCTTCTAGATCTGTGTGATGCAGCTAGAAGATAGACAAGCCTTTAATCCCAGGAGACAAGCAGATTTGTGAGTTCAAGGCCAACCTGGTATAGAACAAGTTTCAGTTAAAGGAAAAGCTTAGGTCCAGGCATGGTGGTACATGCCTTTAATCCCAGCACCCAAGAAACAGAGATGGAAGATCTCTGAGTTCTAGTCAGCTCAGTTGAGTCAGTGAGTTGAGAGTCAGTTCAGTCCATGGAATTTAGAGGCAGTTTTACTGTCTGTTACAGAGAGTTGTTACAGAGAGAGGCTGAAGAGAGAACAAGCTAGACACAGGGAAGGACAGAACGAGCCAGAGAATAAGAAGGAACCAGAAGATTAGAATGGATGGCTAGAGTTAGTTATGAACAGGCAGTGCAATTCAGTGAGAACCTGAGAGAAGCCAGATTGAGTCAGTCAGCTGGGAGAGGAGTTTGAGCCAGAACAGCTGAGTTGAACCATCCAGCCAGAGTTCAGAAAGAACAAGAGAAGGTGGGCTTATTCAGCAGTAAGTCTCAGAGGCTGAAAGCATTCTAGGCCTAGATTACATTATACGGTGGCTAGAAGCTGCCGTGACTACACCTAGGTTAGCAGACAGAGACAGTATGCCTCGGAGATGACAATTACATCAGCTGGATAAAAGTTCCACCTGAAACCAGGTGGAGAAATGATGCTCCACACAACAGCAATTCTGAGAACTCAGATGCAGGGAGAGCCACTGAGCTCCAAACTGCAGTGAGGTCCAGTTTTGGGTAACTGAGGGTCTGCTCTGTAGACAGGGTTCCTGAAGACTGAATGCCATCTCAGGTGTCCAGCAAAGACTGACAGTCAAGGAAACGCAGTGGAGATGAAGAGAACCATTACCCACTAGGTAGAGCCAAGCACCCCCGTTCTTTCCCATGCCAGAGAGCTCTCCTGAGTTCCTCGGACATGTCCCTGCAGTTTCCATTTCTAACAGACAAGCACAACACCCCAGCTTGTCTAAACCGTGCAAACCAACCACATAAAAGGACCTTTGAAATGGCGTTTCTGCTGTGATGAGGGTCCTTGAATGAAGCCAGCTGAGGCTGAGGACAGAACCTGGCATCTCAGGTGTGCTAGGTATGTCCCCCCATGTGCCACACTCCCAGAGATTCTCAGCTAGCCTGGAATGGGTTCATGGGTGTCCAAAAGGCTCAAGCACTTGTGAGGCAAAGGTGAGCTGTCTCTCTATGACCCAAACATATTTCTTTCCTGGTTCATTAACTTCCACCTTGCCCCTTAGGCCCAGGCAGATAATGAAATCTTATTTAGGACAGGGGAACTTTACACGCAAATCCAGGCAGGCAAGGGTGGCCCGGCCAAGGAGGCACAAAGACATTTCTATAAATGTGGGTGGAGTGTGCTGGTCACCTTCTGGCATCATTCTTCACCAGGGAGTGAAGAATGTCCTCTTAGGGCCTGAAGCATAATGACAGAACAGGAAACACTTCCCGTGATGGACCTGAAGTGGTGGATTGAAGTTTACATCCTGGAACTACACTGGGACCATGGCTGTGTCTTTCCACATACCATTTCTACATGTGTGTACTCAGGTTTGTGTACATGTGCTTGTGTGTGTGTGCGCATACACACGTGTGAACTTGAGAGGTCAGAGGACAAGCAGCCTTGGGTATTGTTCCTTAAGAGCCTTCCACCTTTTTGTTTTGAGACAGGATCTCTCAATGGCCTGAAACCTCTTCAACTAGGATACGCCGGCCAGCCAGTGAACTCACAGGATCTCCTTGTTCCTGACTCCCTTCTTGTCACTTGTGGAATTACAAGTGTGTGACACTGCACCCAGCTTTTTAACTGGGCTCTGGGGATTGAACGAACACTTGTGAGGCACTTTACCAACCAAGCCATCTCCCATCCACACCTTTACACACACACAAACACACACAATTTCGACTGCAGTTTTATCTTCAGGCAAAAGTGAAGGCAGATCACCCGTATTTAACCTGTGCAAGTTCTGTTACCCGGGGGGGGGGGGGGACGGGGACCGCCCAGCTTGGAAGGACAGCTCAGGAGCCGGCCTGAGGGACAGGTGGGATGAGGGCAAACCTTGAAGGCTGGTAGTCAGAGGTTTGGCCTCAGGTGATAGAGAGTTGGGGAAAACGCAGAGAGAGCCTGATGGGCCTAGACTGTGAAGGTGAAACCAACCTGCTCTGAAGCAGGTCACTTAGATCAGTGGATCATGTTTGGTGGCACTGTGGCTGGATGGGAGCAGCATCCATGATGGCTGCTCAGGAAAGATTGAGGCTGAAGGGAAACATGGCTCTGGCAAGCCTTCCTTTTCTCTCCATTTCTTCTGCCTTGCTAAAACCCCACTACATTACATTCTTTTTTTTTTTTTAAATAAAAATAATCTATTTGTTTTATGTACACTGGTGTTTTGACTACATGTATATTTGTGTGAAGGTGTTGAATCCCCTCGAACAGGAGTTACGGACAATTGTGAACTGCCATGTGGTTGCTGGGAATTGAACCTGGGTCCTCTGGAAGAGCAATCAGTGCTCTTAACCACTGAGCTATCTCTCCAGCCCCCTAGATTACATTCTTGAAGCTAGCCCCAAGACCCATTCCTTAATTTGGCTACTTCCCCTTCCCAGTCTGACTACCAAAGCCTAGCTACCAAAGCTCGGAAGTCCGGCAACGAAAAACCCCCTTTGGCTCACCTAATCAACATGCTCAATTAAAATGAAACACCTCATCCCAACGTGGCTTTTCCCCTTTAACCTTTATAAATTGCTGTTTTCCTATGGGCCGTGTCTGTCTCTTCTCTATCCACAGACACTTCTTTATCCCCCACTGCCCTGCAACAAATACACCTTACTTCTCTCCATTGCCTCCTTTCTCCCTTTTCCATTGTTATCCTCCCCTACTCCCTCTTTCCCTATCTTCTTTCTTTGTCCCTTATCCCTGACCTTTGTCCTTCTGGGGCACATAAATCTCCTTTGTGTTGAGAGCTTGGTCATGGTACCAGTATATTGAGCTGACTCCTGAGGTTCCCTACAGAGGTCCTCAGCAGATGGTAGGTATATAGGAAGGAAGAAGGATATGGTCTTTGGGGACTCATGAAAGATCTGTCAGCACTGGGTCCCTAAACTGGGCAGGAGCATCTTAGAGAAAGGTGTGAGTTTCAGGAGAAGTAAGTATCATGATGGCTTCCAACCTGTGTTCCTAAATCAGATCCACCTGGAATATCTCCAGCTTGGAATGACATCTTTCTTATATAAACTGTTTCATAAAACTCACCCTTCAAATCCAGTTGTAGCTGGTGTATACAACGTTTACCTAACTACAGATATCTGGCGACTCTACCTAGGGCTCCATGTCTCTCTATCTCCCCATGTTTTCACAGTGGCCATATAGAGCAGGAAGACAGCACTTTTAAGAGGCGTCTAAAGAAAATGAATCACGGTGCTTTGAACAACTGGAAAACACGTGTGTCCAGCGTAGGATTTATGTGGCTTCTAGGACGTGACCCTAAAAGAACAATGACCAAGGGCATCCAGTTATTCCAGGATGCTTGGAGAATCTGGGCCTATTCCATGCACGTTGTGTCCTTTAACCTGAGTTGGTTTCCTGAGCCAGGACACACGAGAAACCACAAATCAAAGCTTGTCACTGGTGGTTAGCAACTCTGGGCCAAGCACACACTGGGTAGGGAAAGCTATGATGAAGATGGGGTTGCTGAGCATCTTTCTGTGACTTAGCTCAAAAACACAGAGCACCAATAACCATGAGGGATGATAAGCCCCATGTGGGCTGTGAATGAGGAGTAATGTGGGTGCCTCATGCTTTGTGATGTCTATAGAGGGGTGCTTTACCACTCCTGAGGCATCATTCCAAAATTTAGCGCCACCCCTGCCTTCCAATTTCAGCTGTCAAGTGAAAACTTCCTTAATAGAGATTTTTCTGGAACCCCAGATTAGGTTGCCTACTCTCAGAAGCCCCATTTACTCCCCATTACAGGGACTGTCTTCTTTCATGACCATAATACTGTGGTCCAATTTGGTAGTTATCTTTATTTGCTACCAGCCTAGAAGTTCCATGAGTCAGGGATGGCTTTTGGTTTTTCTCCAGGTGGCCTAGATCAGAGCTTGGTGGACTCACAGGTGCTTAGAAGACTCTAAATAAAACATGAGACATGATGAAATAGCCCATGGGTCCGAGAACGTGCTGAGGGGCAAATCATATGGACCACTAGATCCAGTTTGTTATTAATAAATGTTTAAAGGGCATTGCTTTATTCTTGCAGATAACATCATGCCTAAAGCTGGTGAAGATCACAGAAAAACAATGCCCATCAACACAAGGAGAGAGAGAAATACTATGTATAAGTGACTCTCAGCTGGGCAGTGGTGGCACATGTCTGTGATCCCAGCACTCTGGGAGATAAAGGCAGGTGGATCTCTGTGAGTTTGAAGTCTGGTCTACAAAGTGAGTCTAGGACAGCCAAGGCTACACAGAGAAACCCTGTCTCGAAAAAAAAAAAACAAAACAAAAAGTGACTCTTATTTATTTGAATATCTATCTTAAAGTATATAATTTAAGCTCTGACAAAAATAAGAGATAATAACAAATGGTTCAGACAACTTTGCCAGAATGTTCCAAAGGGGCCTCAGACCCTGGATAGTTCAAGAAACAGAACTCACAGTGGGTTTAGCTAGCTTTCATCTCTTCCCTGGTTGAATCTTTCATATAACATACGACAATATTATAAGCTGTGCCTACTGCGCCACTGAAAATTAAAAATGAAAATAACCATTTCCCCATGACTGGAAAAACAAACAAACAACCCCCCAAACAACTGACCAAAACCAGCTTTAGGATGAGTCCAAGACATCTTCCTCAGAAATTTTCCGACACAGTTTTGACAACACTCTATTTTCTTCTTTCGCCTTGACTTTGAAGTCTAACTACTATGTAAGCTATGATTCCACAGTGCTCCGTGTACATCCTAAGGTGGTAATTAAGGCCCAGCCAATATTTAGGCTAATTTAGGCAATGCTTTGGGATTAAGCAGTGTTTGAGATGGTGCTTTTGCATGTATAGTTCAGTGTAAGATACAGTCGAAGGCTCTGGGGTTCAGTTACAGGTCCCCAAGAGACCTGAGATGCACCCTCCTATTTGTCCCATGTGAGTAGAAGTTACGCCAGTCTGATGAAGGCTGAATAACAGTTGAGGATTAAGATTACTTATGTGGACAAAGCTTAAATACCTGGACTGAGAATGGAGGTCATTTGTATCAATACAACTTAATTCTTCCGGGATCCTCCTGCCCATAGAGTTAAGCTTTTCTATTTGCTGCAGGAAACTCTGACAGTTTGCTCACTCACTCGGGAGAGTACCTTGATGGTTGATGATTTACTCAACAAGACTCAGTGGTTCTGAGACGATACGTACCAAGCTTTGCTAGAATGCAATCACATTCTGAAAAATACACCTGAATGGACTTGGAACTCGACATCCAAACCCTATGAATATACCTGTGGTCGGTCCCTAGCCTAGACCCTGGTAAGACTATCGTCCTGGCGCGCTTTCATTTCAGCAATAAACTCAGCTTTGCCCTTTCAACAAGGCTTCTGGCGGACTTTCTGAGTCAACCTTTGCCGTGGTGTCAGTTGCAATCTCTTTGGAAACAGGGAACACAGATAAGAGCAAATGCATCCTTATCAACACTTAAGGGCTTCAGAATTACTAACCACAAGCACTTTTTTTCTCTCCCAATAATAAAGCAATAAAGTTTCCTTGGTGCTCCTGCTCTGGGGACAAGGGCGCTTGTTTGGAACACCTGTATTCCCATGTATATATACATACATACATACATAAATGTACATTTAACCTCTTTTACTTTTTTTTTTTTCTTTCAGGGATGGGGCTGTGATCCAGAATTTTCCAAAATAAATTTGCATTTATTTCAGGGTATAATTAAACAAGTAAAAAAGCCACAAAAGGGAAACTAACTTCCAACTACACATCAAAAATGACTATCAAATCTTAAACAAATGCATTCTTCTTAAAACACTCTTAAAAATCACCCATTAAGCCAGAAAGTTACTTTAGCCTTGGCAATGCCCGTAAGACACTGAAGAGTTGTTTGATTTTGATCTTCCCTTACCCTTGTCCCACCATTAAAAGCTTTTGGGCATTTGAGAAAGCACACCAGGAACTAGCGTTTGATCCTAAGGTGGGGCCCGGGAATCAGTTGGTGATCTGCTTTGGTTTTCTTTTTGTTCTTCACTTTAATGACTCAGTCAGGCAAATAAATACACTGGTCTCACACCATTAATTTTCTGGAAAGCGGAGTCCAGCTTTCATGCTGAAATGCCCCAGCTGAGGAAGCCAGAACAGCTCACCCACACAGGGTCCCTCCAGGGTCCTACAGTGTGGCATCTCTGCCCCAGCCCCCCCGCCAGTGAGGAAGCAGTAAATCACCAAAGCTCCAGCCTGCCGAGCGCCAACCTTGCTCTCAGGCAAGCTCCCCTGGCCCCAGCTGGTTCAGCCAGCAGGCTTCCAAGCTCCAGTCTGCAGTTTCGGGTGCCTGCAGCTCCCCAGGCAGCCACAGAGAGGGAGCAGAGCGGAGATCCCAAATCCGGTTTTCTTTTACCTTAAAGAAACTTCCTCGCTTGTCCAGACTGCGGGCGCCCATTGTCCAAGCTGACATTTCCCCCAGCAAGGCTCTACTGCATGCCCGGGACTCCTGAAGGTAGAGACATTTTCAATGGTTAGTCCAGCCTGTAGGAAATTCCTTTCTAAGCCACAGAACACTCATAACAACAGTCCTGCCAAGATCTTTTTCCGTCAACAACATTGTGCCATTTATTTCCCACCAAAGCCCTTACATCTCCTTTCAGCCTGATTTCCTGCCGCAGCCAGCACTCTTCCTAGACTGCCCCACCTCGCTGCCCCACCCCCTCTGCCAGCGGCTGACGTAGAAGGTCCTTAGGATCTCGGGGAGCATAATGATGGCTTTGTGTGTTTGCTTGACCCCTTGTTGAAGTCCAAAAGGAACCAATATTAGTTGTCCCCATAATCTGCTCTGAGAGCTTATAGATTTCATATGGCAGATTGCAGAAGAATGGAGTTCTCTATGTCCTAGGAAATCCTGCTGTTAGGGAGTGAGGTCAGCCTTCCCTCAGTTAGCTCTCCTCCCGGGCTAGCAAGGTCAGCAGAAGGGCACTACGAGAAATCCCTCTGTTTTCCCCCTTAGAAGCCAGTGGGGCTGGGATGCAGCCCAGAGAGTCACTGTTTACAGAGCTCGTTTGTGTAAGGGGATGAGTGTAAACAGCTCCAGGATCATCCCAGGGCTTGGGGGTTGGGCTCATTTGGAACACACAGGAAAATTTAAAGGCAGGGTAACAACATGGTCCTGAATCATCACCAACACTATCATGCTTGGAATTTCCCCTCCTAGCACACAGCAAGCACAGAAACCAGTGATGTCCTCACACACCCTGCAAAGCCTTCCACCTTCACTCCCAAGTTAAATGCCTGCACACAACTGGTGCAATAGACCTGGCTGAGACAGGTGTGCACTGACTTGGCAAGGGGAGTTCCCAAAGGCTTACTTACCCAGTGAAATTGGACAGGTTTAAATAGAAATCACTCGCAGTGCTCTCTCTCTCCCTCCTCCCTTCAGTCTCTCCAACTTCTTTCCTCCTCTCCCTCTCAAACATACTGTTGGGTTCCAGATGGAAGCCAAGAAAACTCACTTCTGAGACAGAAGCTTAAAATGCAAGCTTTATTTTCTGTGCGCGAAGGGAGGTGGCCAGTTCATGATCTGAACTGCGTCACTGAAGGGAGATTGTACGACATTTTTAAGGGATGGGAACAGGGACGGGGTGGGCTGTTGTTTTGACCAATCCTATTTTGACACAAGTGGTCAGGCAAGGAAGTAAACAGGGCGACTGGGCCTTTCCAGGTCACCTGGTTTCAGGACCCTCGACTCAGCTTTTTGCAGTCACATCCTTTCTTGGGCTTTAGCCTGGAGTTTTCCCATGATAGGGGAACAAAGGAGTAGGCAAGCTTTAAGTCAACACAAGCAACACATTTACAACTTGTGTGCCTTAGTTTAGATAGCAGATAATGGCAACTTCCCTCTTTACATCCTTTACTGGTTAACAGACAAACATGAAATGTCTGAAAAAGCAGGATAGGAATTGGGTTCTGGGGCCTTGGAATATGAACTCCTTTTTGACCCTGACAGCAAGATGGAACTCGTTCCCGAGATGGCTGGACCCAGGAAATGTCTCCTAACACATTCACCAGCATCCCTACTTGCTGTGACATGCACAGGCCAGGGCACATCGCAGACATGAACAGCACAGGAAGTCGGAAGGGAAAACATCACTTGAATCACTAAGGAATATTAAAAGTGGTTGGGCTGCAGGCATGAGATGGGGAGTACCAAAGTCAGGGTGACAGCGCCAGCATCAGACACCGGATGCCGAGGACAATGCTAGTGACAGCCTAACAAGGGGAAAAGCAAAGACTACTAGGGAGCAATGCAGCAATATGAAGCAAGAAACTTTGTAGCAACTCCTTTGGCCCCCGAACTGCCTCTCAACTCACCCATAGTGAGGTGGTTGGTTGGACTCAGGAATCTCATCTAGAAAAAACAGCTCTCACATACCAAGCCTTCCTTCCAAAAGCTCTTCTACTTGAGGTGTTGCTGCACTTTAAATGGTCACTTTAAGTCCATTTGTGATCCTGCTGGGATGAAGGCCAATATTCCAAAACCCTCCTGGGGAGGCGGCAAGCTTCATGGCAATCCTGCTGACTCCAGAGGTTCAGCATCTAAGGGCAAACCTAGCTCCAAGTCCTTCGAAGTCCACCATCCACCGTCCACCGACTGCCCTCATGCCAGAGAGAAAACAGCCCTGTGTTCAGAAAGGGAGTGAGATGGGAACCTCGGGCAGCAGATGCTTAACTGTTTAGATCCAGAAACACAGACTCTTCAACAAAGCGGACACTTTAAGCAAACCTGAGGCCTGTCATCATTTTCTTCTGGAAGTTTTCCTGGCAGGAGATTTCACATAGCTGGCAATTCAGGAATTGCTAAGAGAGAGCCAAGACTTCATTCCTTATCCAGAACAGTTTCTTTGTTCTGTCCCAGGGTTTTCCATATACAAACCTTTGCTGATGAGCTAAGGCTCACGAGGAACTTTGCTTTTGGCAATGGAGTCGTCTGAATTCCTGAAGGTCGCTGCTGATTTAATTAGCAGCTGACATACACAAGCACCTGTAACTCAGGCGGTCCTGATTAAATACTCCGTTTGGATTTTGTTGGGCCGGCAGATTGTTGTTTTTCTTTGAAGGATGAAGGTGGGGTCCTTTCTTATTTGCAAGGCTTCTCCAGGAAAAGAACTCCCCAGACAAGCAGGTACGTGTCAAATAATGGGAGATGGAGACAAAACCACAGCTGAACCAGAGTGCAGCGGGCATGTCTGTGTGTAGACATGTAAAAGGTTTTTGGTGCCTGGAAGTTTTAGTTTCTGGCCATTCCTGTCACTGCAATGGTTTTCTTTCCATTTCAATACCTTGGTTCAACACTCACAGCACAAATCGAGGTGACAGTGGTTGCGTTCCCCTCCTTTCAGCTCCCCATCCTTCCTGCAACCATCATCTGGCAGTAGGATGCCAGACCACCCAGTTACAGCCAGACAGCACAACAACACTGCACCGTAGCTTGAGACTTGATATAATTCCTCCGGATTTGGACCACTGAAGACCTTGCCTGGTTTCCATGAGGGGCAAATCGTCAGATTCTTGGAAAATGAGGCCCACCTGCCCAGTGACCTGCCCCGTGACCTGTCCAGTGACCTGTCCTTCCAGACACCGCTGGAAGCTAGCAAAGAGCCACTGCAACCTTCTGTAGTATAGAGCAGCCAGGCCCTTCCATCACCCACTGAAAGGATGTAAACGGAACCACAGTCAGGGATAAAGGACAAAGGCAGGAAGCAGGTGCTTCTCCTCACTTGCCCAGAAACTGCCCTCTGCAGTTGGGCTCTGTGGCTTTCTAGGTGGTTTCATGGGTGACTTGTGAGTTAACTGAAGGTCTGTTCTTAAAAGCACAAATGACACCCTGGTCCCCTGGCTGGGCACCAGCTGTCCTGGCAAGCCTGCTGAGGCAAGAGTGCTCCAAGTCCTAGGAGCCACCTGGGCAGGCACTGAGGCCACTACTCCTGCCTGGATCTGGGCACAGCCGGCCTCTGTGGAGTCAAAAGGAGAGACAAAGGCAGGGGGTTCTGGGGTATGGCTGGCCAGTTAATGACCTGCTTTAGTCCAGCAGGCTTCCAGCCTTTGTGCTATCTTGCTGAGGACAGATCTGGGAAAGGCTGAAGGGCTGGAGCCTGCAGTCATGTGTCATTTAAGGATAGGATATCTGTGTATCATACATGGTCCAACACCAACTAAGGTTGACTACTGAGTCACATGGTGACATAATCCAGGACCACAGGCCTACGCTTGGTCTGCTCTTGACACAAATGCTGTCATGTGGCACCGAGCTTTTGAGAGACATTTTCCCTCCCACTCTCTCCTTCTCCTCCTCTTAATTGACTCAAACTATATCCTCTCTATTTTCTTTAAAGCGCATATTTATGGTACACAATATAATCTGTTGAAATCTACTAAACACTAACTAGCATGCCAATCAGCTCGTGGCTTGTTTATTTGGGACAACAGTAAAGTCCAATCTTTAATTCTCACTACGCAAACCTGTGCTGTAGAACCTGCTACACAGATCAGGCTGGACTTGAACTCACAGAGATTCATCTAGCACTACCTCCTAAGTGCTGGGATTAAAAGCTTGAGCCACCAATTCCAGAAATATACATAATTATCATTTAAAGTCCTCATGTTCTACAATGGATTTTCCAGATTTGTTTCTCTTATCTGACTGAAATTTCGTATGCTCTGCTCAATCTGACCCTTTCCCCTCTGATATTTCATTTGCTTTAGGTCACAAGAGCAAACCTCATCACAGAACAGCAGGTGCAACAGCTGGGAATCCATCCCTCACAGCGAGGGTCAAAGCAAGATTCCGGAGCTTGAGATACAGCCCAGTGGTTAAGAACGCTTGTTCTTGAGGACAACCTGGCTTCCATTCCCAACACCTACACGGCAGTTCACAAACATCTCTAACTCTAGTTCCAGGACATCCATGACACAGATACATATGTGGGCAAAACACTCATACAAATAAAATAAATAAATATAAAAAGAAAAAAAAAAAGGGAAGCACATAGCTTTGCAAGCCTTGAATTCCTACCTACAGATCTAATCATACACAGAATTTTTCTATCCAATCCTTTTTCTTTTTGTAGCTAAGTGAAGCATGGCTGCTGAGTTTACCCTAGTAAACAAGAGCTCAGTCTCATGATTATTTTACTGCCAGAATGACTCACCCCAGAAGACCAGTCAGGGTAAGTCCAAACCTGACCAAGGTGCTGCTCCTCACTGCCTGGCTCTTCAAACAACTCCTGGTGTAGCAGCCTTTCTCCTTGTGGCTTTAGTCTTCTCTGACAGTCTAGAAGCTCCTGTCTGTGTCCAGGAAAGGTCTCTGAGCATTTCCATAGCTGCCTTTCTATTGCCAGGGATTTTTCAAGTTGGACAAGAAAATGTTATTCCAGATTCTGGCTCAACAATTTCAGTTATGTGAATTCAAAAACAGTTTTCAGGGTCTTTCACTCCACAGTC